TTATAATAGAATCTTGATGTAAAATTTCATATGATTTTATATAGGTACGTTTTTCTATAGTTCTACAAACTGCGCGACGTTACTTTTGGTCTCGACGCAGTTTTTAATTGAACCAGAAAGAATAGTAATATTATAGTATTAAATTGATAAAATAATACTGACGCTTACAAGCATCTCATAAGATTCTTCTTTCCCATCAACGCGATTATTTTTTTAATGCTAAAATACTAATTATCTAAAAGCTAACGTCCACGATAGACGTTGATTTCATAATTATTATTTTGCAAATGCATCTCGTATAAAAAAAAATCTTCAAAAGCATTATCAAGTTCCTCAGTCTTACCTTCTTCTCTCTTTATCGTGGACTTGATATAATTTCAAAATGAAAAAATAGTTGCCTGATTTCAAAATAAATTTGTCAAGTTGTCAGCATAACAGAAATGCAGAGGACGAAAAGAACCATGCAAAAGCGCACGTGACTTTGCACGATCCTGCGGTACGAAAAGTAGGAACGATCGGAATTAGAGTGGCCCGTAATCAATAATACAGATTGTGGAAAACGATAAAACGAAGAAGTCGACAAGTATTTTAACGTTACACGTATTTCCTCGTCGCATCGTTCTCGTATATCTCCCAAACTACCTCGTGTCTTCCTGGTAAACAACGCAAAATCTCTCAGGGGCGATTCCCCGCTACGTTACTGTCTGTGCTTGCGCAGATAATAAAGTATTCGATAGAACTGATTTCGTGCCGCGAGCGCGTGTAAGTTGCGTTTCAGTCGCGAGGTATATCATCGGACGTATGGTCGATTTCTGCAGCAAAGGAGCTGCAACCCGAAGCGTATAGATAAACAAAATGGTCGCGGAATGGATCGTAAACGTCGCGTATTCCAGCCATCGACATTTTTATTGTGACGTCGCTTTCCACGTATACCAGTCGCCGTTTAGGTATCGCAAACTGTGTTCCATTCAGAACCACGTTTGAACTCCATGTGTACGAGGCACCTATTCAGAAATCTCCGTAATTCACAAGAGTTTAAAGTTCGTGGAAAAAGGGCAATTAATTAGTTTCTGAAAAATTAATCCAATTGTGAAAATGTGGCAAATTGGTAAAAAAAAAAAAAAGATAATAAAAATAGAGATTACGTGCAGTACATAGGATATTGCAGCGCGTTTCATAAAAATAAGATCTAATCCTCTATAAATAAATCCCGTAAGCAATAACAAAGACTCCTCCGTTCCGTTTCGAGAAATTTATTTCGACGAGTAATCCAGTCACTCGACACGTCTCTCCAAGAGAGACATTGTTTCTGTCTAGCAATTCGATGTCAATCTTCGTGCCGCGATTACTATTGTAGATCGCGTAACAGTTGCTCATAATGTCCCAGATCTTGTTATTCCGCCATCCTTCTTCCTTTTCTCTTTCCCTGCTTCTCTTCCTACAACTCCCTATGCAACTGCTATTTTCGACGTCTGCCGCGGCACCGCGAGCGAAGACTATCTATCCTTTCCCGGCGATGCCGCCGCAACTCGGGAGAACAACATATAATCTTTGAGTCAAACTGTGTGCATCGAGGAATCCCAGAAGAGAGAGCGTAGATTTGACGGATAGCGTATATTTTATTCCGCCCTTCCTCCCACTCCCCTTATGTACCACCCTCTACCTCCTCCTCCTCTTCCACCGTGCTTCTCTACCACGCACCCTCCCTACCAAACTTAGATCAATATGTTGCGTCATGTACCCCCCCCCCCGTCCCATCCCTCCTCGCACACCCCCAACGTCTCACCGTCCACCCAGCCACCCACTCCTCCGACGTCCCCGTGCTCCAACCACCCCCGGCACTCCCTCCATGTGAACCAGCGCGGCGGGTGACGTCACGCAGGGACGCGCCCCATTCATAGGCTCCCACGCAGCGTCCAGGCCGCGAGAACGGAAAAAACGGACAGAGAGGGAAAGAAAGAAACCGTTAGCGGCGACGGCGACGACGACAACGGCGTCGTATGAAACGTATAGTCGCAAGCGCGTAGATCGTGACGGGATGCGTATAATAACCGAGCGGCCGGTATCGATTCCCTTCGAGCGAGACATTTAGGTAGCTCTGTAATTTCGCTGTTTTCGCAACGGGACGCAATTAAACGGTCGACCGCGACCGTGCGACGGGACGGGACGGGACGGGACGGGACGCGACGCGACGCGACGGGACGCGACGCGACGCGACGTGGAGTAAAAGAGCTGCTCCCGCTACATTTAGAACGAAGAAAGAACCTTCCCTTTCCCGCCTCCGGCCCTCCCTCCCCGTTCCCCGTCTTCCGCCCCCATCGTTCCGCGGACGCGGATCGATGATGTAACGACGCTCGCTCACGATGACGTTTGTCATTGTACTTGCGTGCGGCCATGACGGAGGCGTGCGTGCGTAGCGTGCGCGCACGTGTGCAACCCGGCGGCGGCGCGGGGGTGGCGAGGGGGTTTACTACAAAACACTACTCCCCACCTGCCCCCGTGCTCGCCTATACGTTTATGCGATCGTCCGACATTTCCGTGCCCGAGCGCCGTTAAATTTTACGCGGGCGCGCTCACGAGCGTCATTGATCAGCGCCCGGATTACTTTTAATAATCCGGAAAATGGAGCTCTCTGTCTCCGCGCTGAAAGAGATGAAAGATGCAGCGACCCTCGGGAAAGATAAAAGCTATTACATGTTCGCAGTAAAGAGGTGTCCTGCGCGAAATATCACACACAGCCGCGCGAAACGTGTGATTTGCGCGCGCGTTACCCCGGCAGAAATGTTCTCTAGATTTCCTTTCGGTAATTATTTCGGTATTAAATCCGCAATTTATCTGTCACGAAACTGGGTCATTAAATAAAGCCAGAAGACACGGTGATCGATAAAATCGGTGTTCCAAGCTAAAAATAATAAGGGAGAGATCTAATATTATATATTTCTACTTATTTAAATCTCTATATTTATATTCATACATGCATAAGTTGCATAAGTTGCGCATATATTGCGGCTACCTCTTACGTGCATCTATAAGTATCCATGGAACCTCCAATGGCGTACTTAAATGTACTATATATATATATATATATGTATATACGTATCGCACATTCTGCGACACAATATAATAAATAGTATACGATTACACCGAGCGAATACCAATGAATCTTTCTCTGCATATGCTACTTTTTTACGTTTATTATTAGTACGAGGATCACGCCGGAAAGGCTACCGATTCGAATATCGGTAAATCGATATTGTAATGCCACGCGAGGACGGGACGTAACCACCACCACCACCACCACCACCACCACCACCACCCCTCCCCCTCCCGATGCGGAGATAAGAATAATATTTGCGCAAGTGAATAATCGCGTTAGAACGGTATATACGGTGCAAATTCGACGAGCGTTAGTTTCTGTTTGCGAAAATCTCTGCTGACCCCGGAATGTGTGGTGGCGCGGTTAATAGCGAAGTTTTAAAAGCGCCGCACCCGCCGGCGGCGGCGTTCGCCGCGTGTGCCGAGCTACATGTACCTGTAGCCCCTACCCTCCTCCGGACCGAGCGTTAATCCTTCATCTCCGCGGATAAAAGTCCGGAAAATCGAAATTGTGCGCGAGTAGAAAACAGTGCTGGCGAGACGTAAATGGAGAGAAGATCTGCGCGGCGGCTATTTAATGACGACATTACGCCCACGCGTAATACCATGGCGATAAAGGGTTGATTCATGTACCGGCACGGAGATAATAACACGCCGCTATAAGTCAATTGTTTTGACGTATTCCAGTATAATATTCGTCCCCCAGACGACACGCACCGATTGTTATCTTTTACGATCGCGTCTTAATTATTTCCAGAAAGCCGACGTTCGCCGGTTCTCGGTATTATCATGTCCATCCGACGTTTCTCTCTCGTCGCGACTCGATAACGCTGTCCGCCGAGTTAAATTTACCCTTACCCGTCTCCTCCTTCCCTCCCCCCTACCCCGTTAAATCGCGCGTTATCTCCGTGCATTATCTCTCCGCCGCCGCAGAGTACATACGCGCATAATGAGGCAATTGCGAAATTTATGTCCAATCGCGGGAAATCGAAGAGCTTGCCTTTCACGCCATATTCACGCCATCGAGATTTCATCAGAAGAATATATACGGAAAAGAGAAATTCCACACAAAAAACGTTTTGACGGCTAATTTGCGGAACAGGAGCGATATGTTATACATAAATCTTTTCAGAAAGGTAAAAGTGTATTCATACAATCTCCCCCTCCTCGTTTAATCGATCGTGGTTTTGAATGGCGCTTTTCAAGTATTAATCAATAAATTGTTCGCTGTTCAAGCATTAATCAATAAGTGAGATTTTTGCAAACTCGATAGTCTCGCGTTGATTTTATTGCTTATCTTATACCTACTTACTTGCTAAAAAAAACTAAATAAATAAAAAAGACAAATAAAAATTACTGCGCCAAAGTTCAAGATAAAATCGTGACAATATTTTTTTTTATCCATACATTTATGAATTAAGAACAGTGCGGGCCTGATGAATTTATTTTCCACACTTCAGATGTTACTCCGAATAACTATTTGCATCGCAAAATAACATTTCGGTTTACGTATTTTTGCTTTCCTTTGCAGTTATTTTTTGTTAAAATGATTTATATCTCCCCAACACCCCTCCCCCCCTCCCACCGTTATGTTCTGTATCGCTCGCGATACGAGGGTACATTATTTACATCAGACGCGTTAATATCAACTTGATCGCTGTGCATAACACACACACACACACACACGCCGATAGATATCTTTCTATTTTTATTTTCCGTGTGATCTTTTTACGCCGAGGCCTTCGAAAGGTTTCCCCGTGGTATGCCGAGTGGCGGCGTATGTAATACGCGGAAAGAAAAGTGGTACGTCATGACAGACAGTCGCAACAATTTCTCGATCAATCTGACCCCACGATTCTTTCGGCCGTTTTATTCGCGCGCCGCCTTTTCCCGTGCCCTCTTACCTTGCTTGACCGTAAAGTGACCTTTCCGCCGCAGCGTGCGCAGCATCGGATGTCGCAGTAGTTGCAGATGTGGCCGACGCCGTCGGCAAACTTGGTTTTCAGGCATATGTGACACGTGGCGTTCAGCTCAACCCCGGCCTTTTTGTGTTTCTCCGAACGCATCCGTATCGTTTCTTCGAGGATCTGCACCTCATCTTGCTTTCGTCTACAAACAAATAACAAACTATTAAGAAAAAGCAAAACTTCGGAGGGCTGAGCGTATCGCTTACAATCTATTACATTTTATTTGCATATTCTAGTTTCAGATCTTTTCCCAGATACAAATGGCGATGAGTCAGTTATTGAGTCAGTTGTTAAGAATTTAAAACTGATAATTTTTATAGCACCTAGGTAATATGATTAAGTATAGAGGAGTACAATGAAGAAAAAAAGTATCCTATTTCTGTCACTTCCGTATTATGTTTTAAAGAGATTTAATGTTAATAATAATAATTAGATAATAATAATAATTAGATAATAATAATAAATAATTAACAATATAATAAGCCTGACAGTTCAAGGCTTACGGTTTATTAGTTTCCATGTAATATATATTATATATATTACTTCTGACGATCTCATGTAAGAAGAACGATGGTTTATAATCAGTGTCTACAGGATAAACGATGGAAAATTAACCTTAATCAGTATTTGCGGGTCCAGTGGACCCGGATATTTTTTCCAATTATGCGTTAAATCTTCAGATAGCATTGTGCAAAAATTGTCTGTAACATAATATAAATGTTTTTCACAACTTTACATAATTTTAAGTTACATAATCTTATTTCTCGGAATTTGATCTTTAAAATGAAAATAAAATTTTCAATTACGTTAACTTTAAGATACGTTAATTTAAATTTTTTTGGACATTGGACCCACGAATACCATAGTTAAGGAAATTTGGAGAAAATATCGATTAAGAAATGTTAATTTTTTTGTGTTTAATTGTGTATTAATTGTGATAGTATTGTAAATACTACTGTTTAATGATCAACTGAATTCGTGTCAGTACTAGAAAATTACTGGCTATTTCTGACATATGGAAGCCACATCCCGTGAGGAACAGCAGCCGAATTTGTCAATCCTAATTCTACCATTTGCGGACTCCGGCGTTCTACCAAACCTCAAGATAACGGATTGCTCCCAAATTTATTTCTACTCCGTAAATCGCACCTTGGAAGCGTCTTCGACCGAGTGGTCGCGTTTTCTCTCCCTGAAAATGCGACGCCGACGTCACTGCTGTCGTCTTCATCGCCGTTGCCGCGGCTCTCTATTCCCGCTCCTACTCGCATCCATTAAGCCAATTTAGGACCGTGTGTCCTGCACGCTCGAAATTAAGCCGGCAATTCTGCCAAAGTGCGTCATTACTGCACGATTTATCGATATCGGCGCGATATTGTTTACTACTGCAGGGATTCAGACTAAAATATCGTTGCATCAGTTAATTTAATTTCGATTAGACAAATTCTTTTCTCTTTTGTCATAGGACTACTTCAAGAAAGGACTGCAATTTGCTAAACCGAATTTAGATAAACTACCTTTATAATTTTATTTTTCAGTGTAAGCGAAGCGTTAACTTTTGTTTAATCCTTTTCCTTTTGTGTATAACTTAATTAAAATAATGAACTAAAGAAAGAGACAATAAATCATTAAAATGAAACCACTTATCGGATTCAACCACCCAACAAATTTAAAATGTTGCAATCGGCTCTCAATCGCATAAACTTTTTATAAACGTGGTAAGAATATTTATTTATCAACTTTCCATTCGAACGCAACGCGCGTCACATTGTTCGAGGGAAAAAAAAAACAAAATTTATAAGCTCTAGTTGACAGTTATTGCAGCGCGCAATCGTCCCTTGAAAAACGAGAAGCTATATTTAAGGTCACATTTATTTCGTACCTGTCCGACCGTAATCGCATCTTTTGTTCTTTATGTCCCTCCGCCGACTAATTACGCGAAGAGCTCTCGCTAAAATGTTAGTGAAATTAATGAACCCTGAAGAGATGAAATAAACATCGCCTGTACAATAGACGCGACATCAGTATATTTTAAATATATCGCGAGTTGCAGTCGGATAAACAGAACTGTGCTCTATTCATTAGTGAATCAGTCCGATCTTTTTCTCCGTTTGTGCATCCATCAGAGAGAAAAAGGGAGAGAGGGGAGAGAGAGAGAAGAGAGAGAATTTCTCTAATTATCATCTTTTGTTTATGTTATAAAATGAGATCGTTAATATATCTTTATTCACGCGATGCTTGACAATTCAGGTATATATTTATATTTTCAGGTATATGCATATGTAGTGTGTGTGTGTTTTGTGTGTCAGGTGGATGTATTGTATATATTTTCTCTGTCGGACATTTACGGATTAAAGACGATAAAAATTATTATATATTAAAAGAAGAAGATTCTGCAAGATTGATCAGCGCGAGATCAGACAAAATTCGTTTGCCAATGCATAAAATCTTGAGACATGTACATGTACATGCACATTTGCAATGTGTGAGATCTATATACATACAAGAGACGCTAGTCCGGCAAATAAAAGCTACTACCGTAGCTATCGTAGCTATAGGTAAAAATAGGTGAGTCGGCACGTTGTGGCAATTTTGTTAGGATTTGTATCTTGGATCACGTACGCAACGGCGAATCAGGCTGCCGAGCTTCAATCGGGGGTTGTTGGCATTGCGACGTATCGGCTCCACCCCGGTAATAGAAACGTACCGTAAACACGCAAAAAATCGACTAAGCGCCCCACTCGCGCTGCTGCAGAATAGAATTTCGGAGCCGGTAAATCTGTGAGCGTCAATCCTGCAATCAGGAAGACGTAACAAACTGAATCCCCTTACCTCCCCCCTTGACCGACTGTCGAATAAAGGAGACAGACCGCGCCACGCATCCTGACACCGTAACCCAAATCCTGAGTTCGTCGATAGAACAAAAGGCAGCGTGTTGTGTTACAACAAGAGGGGAAGAGGGAGAAGTTGTGCACCGCATCTATATACCTATATATTTCTCTAATTACTTTACCGATAATCGAGTGACTCGCGCACGCAACGGTGATCACACTCGACAAAGAGTCGCACAAGACTTTCCCACTTCTGCGTTATGAGCGATCGTGGAAAGGTCGCGACACGCAAGAAATTGCTCTCTCATCGACATAAAAGGGCTAAAAAGAAGCTTACACAGAAGTATCACAGATATATCCCGAATAATTTTGTGTAACTTTCTCATGTTTCTAACGTATGCTGAAATTGGATTTCAGCCTACTGATGTCCTACATCGAGATAAATTCCAACGTCGATAAAACCAAAAATATGTACAAAATAATAATAATAATAATAATAATTCATTTATTAAATTTTGCTGAATTGCAAAGGAATAATTTTCTTATTAATTTAGCTCTTGAATAAAGAGAGATTTATATTTTCAATTTAAATTATAACATGTGACATATTTTTCCTTGCAGACTTTACATGTCTTATATTTCATTCTAATGTAATAATGTAACAACCGCGGCGATGCCATTTTAATATAATTCAATGAAACGACCTGATGTGGAAATATTCAATACGAAAGAAAATGTCACAGGAAATATAGCATCTTAGTACGAATATCGCGCGATCGTCTATGAAGTAATTGGTAAAGCAAAAACCAACGAAACGTTAATACGCGATTAATGCGATAAATCGTATAATGGAATAAAGAGAGCGACTTCCGATTCCTCGAGGTGCACGCTCGTTCTCGGTCGGGACCGCGCACAGTTTATCTCTCTCTTCTTTATCTCAGAAAATCATTTTATTTACACATACTCCTGAGAAATCGGAGACACCGGTGAACGGCAAATCAACGCAACGATATACGTGTATACATATAATTGCCGGCTTAACTTTCTCAACGTTGAGCCTGAATCGTCTCGATATTTACACCCCTTCGCTCATCCCCTACCGCTATAGACTCTTCATCGCCTACTCACGAATACGTGCTACCTATCTGCGTATATATTTCACTCTCCAAGAATTTACCGTGCCAATCCAGGCGCTTTCACACCCCGTCCACGAGCTATATGGTCGCGTACACCTATGCATACCCTATGCAGCTGCAGCAGCTCGTTACTACGCCACGTCAAGGCTCGTCGCCTTGCATTTTACATGCGTCCCTACACGTACTTGTCGTCTACATTACATGATCTCGCGCGCATCGGTATGGCACAGCACGCTTTCCTCATTACTCTTTCCCTTCGTTCTCACGTTCTCGTTTTTCGCTCGGTCGCGACGACCTATCAATAAAACCTGTTCACTGCGCAACGCCCGGTTTCTCCCCCTCCTTCCTTCCCTCTTTCTCTCTCTCTCTCTCTCTCTCTCTCCCCCTCCTCCTTCTCCTCCTCCTCCTCCTCTTCGTTTACAGTTATTGTTAGCCACCACGGGTAGAACGCCGGTCTCCGTTTGCGCAATTACGCACGCCGCCGTCGCCGGTCCAGTCGTCGCCTCCCGTGATAAGCGGAGAATGGATCGGCCCGCTCTTATTTTTATCACCGACACGACGAGGCCGATCGCGACATCGATCGTACATGTATAACGTCCACGTTACATCCGACGAAGTTCGACGATGTCGATCGCACACGATGCACGCGGGGCCACCTGACGACGCAGAACCTTGCATGCGAAGGCGGCACAAGGGCGGGAATATTTGCGGACGTCGAAGACACAATTATAAGCGATTTTTATTTCTGACCGCGCCTGATACAAAAGAGATGAGAGCCGACGCGGTAATCGGGAGCATGTGCGGGGCCGTGGATACATAAATGGAAGATGTAGGTGTAAAGCGGTCAAGGACTAATGAGCAGGTGAGCCGGGAAAATAGGTGAAACGAGCCAGAGCAGACCCATTTGGTCAAGAAATACCTTTCAACCAATCGATCGGTTGTCGTTTCGTCCGTCTGCCAATTGCGGCGAAAACCAAACTAAACGACGTCTCACTTTCGCGCGCCGCGCTATCTACACTTGACTTTTGCGCCGGTCCGATATATCATTAATATCTTTTATCCCTAATTCCGATAACTTCTAAACTTAGCCGAGGCTTGACCTTGGCGGTTATCACTGATCCCATGGCGTTAAAATAGATACCGTTATTACAATTAAAGATAATAACCCTCTCTATAACGCAAACTTTTGAATGAATTAATATGTATATTCGAAAATAAATTGCTAACAACCTAAATAAAGATGTTATATCTTTTGAGTAATTTTAATCTCTCCCGTTCGAATAGTTATCCACACCGAAAGTCACGTTGGAAAAATCATTTCTCGCGTAAATCTAAAAGTCGCAAAGGATATTTACGTATATCCGCTTAAGTGTTCCACCAACGCTAATCGATATATCAAACTTTTACTCCGGTAAAATGTCGACACTCTCAGTTTTCATCCGACGCTACGCAGTTCCACGGATTTTATTTGCGGCAATCGGAATAAAAATGGTCACAATTACCGAAAGCGCGACGGACAATGCCGGCCGCATGCATCACGGTACGTGAATGTTATTACAGGCATTTGAGCAGCCTGGCAATATCCGGTGCAATAGAGAGTCCTAAATACCCGTGTGTGAAAGCTCGCGCGTCCTGCTTGTGAAACAATACTTCATCGATAGTTTCGAATCCAACGCGCGACCCACGCTTATACGGCAGCAATAAAAAAAAAATCCCAATGTACATTCGCGCGCTTTACGGTGCGATGTTGTACATAACCATCATTGGAGAGAGCAAAAAAAGTGCCGCGTTTATCACGATATTTCGAATTCGTTATTTTAACGTTTTATTAAACGACATAAATAAAGAAAAGCATCAATTATTGTTTACGTACGTTGCCGTTTAAATGAATAATAGAATTATTAATTGGTTAATTTCATTAATTTTCTATAAGTTTCTCTCAGATTCAAATTTTATAAAATTATTAAATTATTATTGAATAAAATTATTATTATGTACGTTGTATTACCTTTATCTCTTTCATATCGTGAGATTATACTTTATTAATTAATTCGTCGACAAGCAGCTTTTTCGTATTTTTTTCTCATTTGCATGTAATATATTTTGCATATTTTGGAAAAAAAAAACGCGACAGAATCTATCTCACGATGATTGTTTCAGTTTTATTTCTTGATACTATACTTTTCCAATAAACGCGACTGTATATGTATGACTATATAATTTACTGTTTCTACTTGAATCTCTCTTCGACAAAAGATTCGCGAAAATTTCACACATGTTCACACGTGTTCACACGAGGCGCAATTTTGGCAAAGTATACATGTACGGGTGAGCATGGTAGAGTACCTCATAATCTCATGATCCTGTTCCTCCTCCTCCTTTTGGCGCATTAAAACACCCTCTATGATGCGCCTCTCCTCGGGGGTGAGGTGCGACATGTCAGGCTGAGGTAGCTCCGCCATCACGGTGGTGGTGGCGGCGATGTACGCGCGTGCACGGGGTATGCGACGTGGGTATGACGCGGGTAGGCAGGCCGGCGCACCACCGACGACGTCGACGCCGACGGGACGTTACCGTTGCTCCGATCGGGCTGCACCCTAGACGCGCCTCGTCCACGACGGATCTCGTTGCGGGATATAACGACCGGGGCAATATATAATAACCTTCTACGACTACGAAGCACGTCTGTCGTCCTGGGGAAGTCATCCGACACCCGTTGACCGCACCACCGCACCGCACCGACACGCGAGAAACGCGAGCGCACCGGGGTTACGTCGTCGTCGTCGTCGTCGTCGTGACGGTAGCACCGTCGCCGTCGGTTCGGCACTCGCGGTACGTTGCACTCGCAGGTCGCGCCAATCGGGACGCGGGACCTCCTCCGTGGCCGTGGTCGATGACTTCGTCGGTATGGCCTCCTTTACGCGGGATAACGATAAGGGTAGGCGGTGGACGTCCTTAGATTTTGCGCCGGTCGTCGATGATACGGGCTTCTTTCCCTGTTGCGGCCGCTGCTGATGATGCGCGGAAGGGCAATAGTCGGGCAGTAGTCGGGCTGGTCTCATGCGAGCGCAGCACAGCGTGCTCGTGGCATGGCCGCGGCGGAGTCGGGTGTCGTCCTCCTCCTCGTCGTCGTCGTCGTCGTCGTTGTCGTCGTCGTCGTCGTCGTCGTCGTCGTCCTCCTCCTCCTCCTCGTCGTCGTCGTCGTCGTCGGTGTCTCTCGTCGTACGATTACCGCCCGTCGCATGTGTATGACAAATCATGTTCACAGACTGTGAGGAGGCTCTCGCATTCTCTCTTGCAGCCCGGCCTCACGCGCTGCGCTGCCCGAATGCACCATCGGACGATACGCGATCTCACCTCGAAGGTCCCCGGATCCCCCTCGATCTCGCGAACTCCGTCGCTTCGCCCGTCGTCAACCGAGGATAAGTAATATAGTCTCGGCGAAATCGGAGTATAACGGAGCTTTCTAATCGCGAGCTAATCGAGTGCGCGATTCCACACACGGGATGGTGCCCGACGACGTCGGTTGGACTCTGCTGCTAGATAATGGCTGCGCCCTTCTGTCCCTCCGATCCTTCGAAACTCTTTGGAACCGCATCGATTGAAAACGAAAACGGGTCACTGGGTTGCTGCCGCTGATAAATAGGACTCCACTTTCGCGGCTCGATCTTCGCGCGGTCGAACACTACCGCCGTCACCGCCGCCGCCGTCGCCGCCGCTGCTGCTGCTACTACTTTAAAGCTCCTCGACGTCTATCGGGATCTCCGCTCCGTTATCCTCCGGACACCGCGACTAGGCGATGCGTCATCCCAACCACCGAACCCGCGGGGTGTATCGCCGTTTCGTTAACTGGATCCCACCGTGCCTGCGGGGGACATGCTCGACGGATAACGGAGCACGTCCATTCGACGGATATATAGATACTGCGATCAGCACGATCTCTTTGCACAATCCCTCCTCGATCTCGCCCGAAGGAGAAGTCCGCTCGCGATTCACGTGGCAGCCGACACGACAATGGCGCTCCTCGGCGCGCCTCTAACGGCCGCCGCGACGCCCACGCAGTCAACCGTCCCCAAGCGGACAGTTACACACCCACGACAATCGTTTCCCCAGCTGACAATCGCGCGACGAGGGGTCGAGGGTGTGTTTGTCGCACCAAGGGAGTTCGGTGCTCCTCTATCGTCGCCAAGACCGTGGCACCGTCGCTGACGTCGCGCTCGTCATTATATATCCTCGTCGTCGTCGTCGTCGTCGTCGTCGACGCGAGAACGCCCTCCGTATAAGATGCGCTCGCTGCCTGGTCGTCGCTATAATGGGTTAAACACCCATCTTCGGGGTCTCGTCACACGACCCTCTCTCAGCTCGAAATTCCACGCGTACACCTCACCCCCCTCCCCCCCGGCACAGCACTACCCCCGTGCGCTCCGCGTCGGGCCGCGAGGAACTTTGCGGAGCGGAACGGTCGGACACTTGTCATACGCACGGCGAGAGCGATGGAGAGGGTGCCTGCGCACTCGCGGTCACCTCGCGTTGCGTCGCGACGCCGCCGTTGCGATGCGTTGCGTTGCGTTGCGTTGCGTTGCGCTGCGCTGCGCTGCGCTGCACTGCGCTGCGATGCGATGCGATCAGCGATGCGATGCGCTGCGTCGCGTCGCGTCGCGTCGCGCCGCCGGCTCACGAACGTTTCACTTCCGCGCGCGCGGCGGGTGCCCTTTCATCCCCCTCCCCTCGATGCAACGTCGGAATGCGACCCGCGAATGCGTTTATTCCTCTTCTCTTCTCTCCTCTCCACCCTGCACGCCCTCCCGCGACGAGGGTGTCTCGCCCCGCGGCCACGTCGACTCGCTCGGTACCACTGATGGTAAGGTCTCCGTCTCTCTCCCACCGACAGCTATCCCGCCACTCCCCTTTTCGCGCCCCTGCAGGTCCCTCTCTTTCTCTCTGTCCTTCACCACCCGACTCTACCTTCTCTCTCTCTCTCTCTCTTTCTCTCGCGTTATCTCTCGCTTCCTCTTTCTTCCTTCTCCTGATGTGTGCCTCGAACGCTACCTGCTCACTTCCCGCGACCCTAATTCTCTCTCGCGACGACCGCAGAACGGAACGGGCGGGACGCGGACGGGGCTAATTTCCGGTCGCGAATCGACTTCCTGTCCTCGGGATCGTCACGTCGACATCGAGGCGCGAGCCCGCGCGTTCCTCGCGAGCGGCCCTTCGGGTAGTCGCACGTATCGCTCGCTTCGAGAGACCTCTATCCAAGGGAGGGCTGCCTTATCACACTCGTGTGCGACCGCAGTTGCGCGAACCGAGCTTCACTCCTCTGCACCCCCTTGTCCGTACGTAGCGATACACAGGGTGACTCAGAGATCGCGCGCGCTTCCTTCGAGTCGTTTACCAAGAACCACACTGAGAGAAAAATGACCAATTTTGTTTCGTTGCGTCGTTTCATCCTTGAACATCTCTTGTACATTAAGTTTTTAGGGCGCAGATTGTATATGCAGTTTAAAAATCTGTAGAAAAATATATAAAAAGTCTGATTATTTTTTTTTTTTAATCAATTATATATCTACATTAAGTTTTTATTTCAGGATTTTTCAACGGTATATTTAATTTAGAAAATAGAAAACCTGCTGAACTTCTAATGATATTCTCGTCGAGCAAAGTTTGACTTAAGATTCTCCGAAGAATACATAATAGGATAAGGGATACGATTTTTTTGGGACGCCCTATATACACATCTGGCGCCGTACAAACTCCGGTTCACGTATGTGACGAGCGATGCTGAAGGGGGAGGGCGGAGAGGGGAGGGGGAAGTAGAAAGACGCTTCGAAAGCGCGGCGGTCGTTCGGAGCAGCGATTCGCTCCGGTTTCATGCAATCGTAATCAATCACCGCTGCGTCGATCGCAATCGCCGTCCCACGATCGCCCGGTGACAGATGGTGCCCGACGAATATCGCACCTTCGCGCGAACTTAATAAATAATGGGATTGCGGCGTACGTTCTGACCAATGGGCAGGCGGGACGCGACTTACGTCGCGGAAAATACCGTATTGATCGCCGAGCGGACCAATCTGGCGGCAACTTTGATCGCACGGCGCTGTATTTGAAAGCGGACCCTGCTGAAGGACAGGAAAGTTATTTAGAAAAATAATAGGAAAAAAAATTGAAATTTCTAGCCCTTGAGAATATAGGGATTAATTTTTAAAGACATTCAGATTCCTGGCAGTCTCCGCTTGCGCACGTTTTTTCGCGAAATTTGATTTCGGCGGCCACGCGTTAAAAGTCAAATTTATAACAAAACGTTGATCGCTCAACTTTCCGTACGCTTTGCGTCGCATTGCGCAATCCTCTTGTCGTAGCGTTTTTACGCTTCTTAGCCATTGGGCAAATTATAGCGAAGAAACGCGTTTAACGCTAATGTGAGAGACGCATAATTTTCAGAACTTCCCGTTCGCGTCGGAAAATGGAACACGTGGCGCATAAGCGAGAGCACAGACTGCGGCGTACGCGATGGATGATGTTCCGTGTAGTTACCGCGGGCTGTTCGTATAATTCCACGCGGGATCCACGGTAAATCACCTCCCGAGAACCGCGCTCCACGATGCGACTTCCGATGGAAAGAAACTTCTGATGGACGAAGCGCCCCATCGGGCAGCCGGCCTGCCGTCCGCGCACCATTCCTTTAACATTGCCAAAGTTTCGCACATCCACCGCGTCACGTGGCTGCATATGGGATCGTGTCGTGAGAACTCCTCTTTTTTTTCTCCTCGATGAAACGCCGATACAAACGATCAAGTTCGAGCGAGCAGTCGAAATACTCACTCGAAGAAACTACTAGTCGTGACGCGCGCAATAACGTCCATCTCTCTAAAATTGAAATTCGATTCGATTATATTAAAATTAATAGACTCTGAAATCTCATTCTTCAATTAGAACGATTTTAACGAGTAACAATATCTACATATCTTATATTGGAAAACAAAGCAGAATAATTGGGAGAAACCGAGACTCTTTTTTGGCGTCATTGTGACCGATGGTTTATCTGCAATGCGTAATTAATGCGCGATTCGTTGTAATTGCGAATTTATTTTGTGTATGAATTATAGATATGTAAAGTGTAATGTTGGAGTTCTCATTGAACAGCATACGAACGTGAGACTTAACGTAATCGCTCGATATAAATCCGTAGTGCGCTACTTTTGGCCGTGCGCAGCGCGGTACTACTACTAAAGCGCGTTTGACTATACATACGTAATAACTACTGACGGTGTTCACTACTGCACGTCAGACATGCATACGAGATTAACACTTACTACTTGCGGGATAAGACAACAAAGAATTCGAGATATTCTTTTTATTAAAAAACGATAAGAAAAAATAAAAATTGATTATAAAATAATTATTTGTATGCAAAATATATTCTTCTAAAATAGAACAGCAAATGTCGAAAGCGTAACTGAAAAAAAAAAACAGAAAAAATAAATTTCAGAAAATGGAAAATGTATGTTTTGATTTTTATATTTTTTCTAAATTTTTGTATCGTCTATTTTTTTCTCTTTTATATATTCATTAATTTACCTGTTGAATAAATGACTAAATGTTTCTTTCATTTGTAAAACGTTTCATCATAAAACGCTTAAAGCAGGTCTTCATATCACGCGAATAAGTAAGGATTTAAGACATACATCATATATAGATTTGCACGTCGTAATATACAAAATAATAACACAAAGCATGTTTAGAACAATCTTTTACATTGATAATTTGCTGTACAGAATTCGTTACTCAGCAATTACATTTACCAAATATTCTATTCGTTGACGATGTCACACAATAATTAATAAATTTCTTAGAAATATTTAGATAAACATAGCAGATATAGCTAGAAATTTGTGATCTTAACAATATTTAAAAATCTTAATTATGTATATTATACACAGTTATTAAAAATTTGGCACATATAAATTATATTAAAATGCATATAACAATATAATGTAACTATTACATGAAAATAAAATATAATATATATTTTTTAAAGATATAAAATACAAAAAATCTAAAAGAAATTTGATGTTCCTCTTAACTGATTTCTTTTATACAGAAAGAAACAAACACTTGACGCATCAACTTAAATTTTGTTTATACCTAAGATAAAATTTTGAAAATTTTGCGTCAAGAACAGAAAATTTTAAATCTCAAAAATATTTCATCGCTTAATTACTATCTATATTCTGCGCAACATTCTCTATGAAATATAAGTTTGTTATATTTCTTTAATCTATGAATATACAAAATTATATTTCATAGATAGATATTAATCTCAATATGTAATTATAAGATAAATTTTATTCTATGCAGTCTATATAAAATGCATATCATATTTAGTTATACCAGAGATCGGCTATATTTAAAATTATCAAATTACATATGTAGCTTCAAAATGGCCTGACAAAATAATTATAAAAATACTTAAAACTAATTGTTGCACATAATTACTTCCTAGTTTATAATAAATTATAATATATGAAAAATTATTATATTGAATTAATTTTTTAGGACATAAATTTAAATAAATATATTGTTTCAGATATCATATTCTGGAAGTGAAAAATGAAAAAGAAAATTTAAAAATATAAATAAATAATATAAATAAAATAAGATAAAAATATAGTTACGTAGAATCTATATATCGTCTGTTATTACGTCATACAAATACGTATCTGTAATGTGATGTTTCTATCAATTATAAAGCAATCGATTTTTGAGATTCACAAAATTAAAAAAAATACATATAAGAAATATATTTTTGAAAATATACAAATGGCCTTTATGTAATTTGAACTGTCATTTGGCCCATTGAAATATGTATACGTATATATGTATATATGTATATATATATATATATATATATATATAAATTAAAATTTTCATGTTTTTAATTAAAAATATTTAAAAATTAACAATTTTTAACAACAGGAAAATCAGTGATATTTTTAGAACCAGCCTTTATAAAATTTAATTATAAAACTTAATTATTTAAATAATAATCTAAATTAAAAAATGATAATCATTGCACTGAATGTAAATATAAGAATATTAAATATATTTTTGTTCGTTTGTTTAAAAATTATATCTTTTTTAAAATTTTTTATCTTAGAATTGTACATTGTTATTATTCTAACAGGCAGTAATATACCATATTGTGATACAGTATATTAAAGTAAACTAAATTTTAGTGCACTTATATAGGGTATATTAATATGTAGTACATTACTATATTAATATATGAATAGTATACCAAATTAATATATATTTACAAAATAAACATCCTTCTAAAATGTTAAATGTTTTGTTGCTAAATATCAATTTCAATGTAAACTTAAAGCAAGAAAGAATCATATACAATTATATATTCACTTTATCGTTTATAGATTATCTACAGAATTATTTTGATTATTTGTAATCATCGTCTCTCATTAAATATTTTACAAAAATTAAAAGAAAGATTAGTAACATTTAACATTTGTCTACTCCTTAATCATTGATATTAAGTTTAACTATTTCTTGACATTTTGACTTGTTATATAATTAAACTTACTGTACCTTGTGTTTCCTGTATGCATTCTGTAAAATATTCGGTATGATAGTTCTTAAATAGTGAGCTACATAAAATTGTATCAAAGTCGTACAAATCTTATCCTATAGAATCTACATAAAAATTCTATATATAATTTATCTCCTTTTCATATAAATTTAAAACATTTTTGTTTATCATGTGGTATTCGTGTCTTAAATAATATTGAATCAGCTCGATACTGTGTATTCAGTAAAGGCATATATCCGAAAACCTGAAATGATTAATCATACTGAGTAAAGCTGACAAATTTACTTTAATATAATAATAGTGTTATAATCATTTAGATTGGTGTAATAAAACGAAGCGTAAAAGTAAATTGACAATCAGAATTTTTTACCTGTGAAAAGAAATTGATGCATTTATGTCTCTCCTGAAAATGGGTATCGTCTTCTGAAAGTGAAACTGGACAACCCGGACATCTGAATGTCCAACGTGATGTTACCTATTATACAAATAAGTGTTTTAATATGTTTTAATTGAATCATATTAATATATTCACATAAATTTCTGAATTATAATTGTATGATTAGAATACAAACATAAATATTAGGTAATTGCAAAATTTTTAAAGCCTGAACTGAGAGAAATATTTTTTAGTTTGTAATATTAAAATAGGGTAACGTTAAATAATTATCTTCTTTATTAAAATGTATGTATGTCTTACTTTAACCGGAGGTTTCCTTGTAAGATGAGATATTAAAAAATTCATTGCAATGTCTTCACAGTTCATGTACTCGTCAACTTTATCCCTTATTGCCTGTGGCAGCCAATGCGTATATAAATATGTATAATGTTTGTGAATGAAAGCAGCCCCAGTTAAAACCATGGACAGCTCGCAAGAATAATTAGAATTGTAATTCCAAGCGTTATGATAATTCTGGTCCCATGCGTGAAAGCGACCAGGGAATCCAACTACACGATCTCGATGTTCCCTCCACACTCTAAAAATATTTGTGTAATAAGTAACGAACGTTACGTGGAATGGAAAAAAATGGTGAAAAATCAGCTTACCTGAAACCGAACATGATTTCATCATGTCTCAAATGAGCATCATCATCGATAGAAAGGACGGCTTCTGTCTCAATTGCATCAAATGGAAGGAATCTATTATTCAAACTATTTCTTGGAGCTTTTATAACCTGTCCAGATATATTTGAAAAATATATGTTAATGTGTGATTTTTAAAAATGGATGAAGTTTCTATAGAATAATAAATTAAAGTTACATGTATAGGAACGCCGATATCAGGCCACTTCAGATCTTCTACAGGTGGTTTCGGACTATTCCAAACTACGAGTACCTTGTTCAGGTAAGGCAAGCCATAGAGACGTGCCAGTGAATTTATAAGAACTTGTTCTCTTTCATAAGTTAACATGACAATTGTAAATTGTTCTCTTGGATAGTTTCCTCCTAATGACTCACTAAACTCTTTTCCAGCGCCTCCAGCACCTTTACCGATAGGTCGAAAGCCAACTTCCGAGCCTATGAAAGTATAAAATAGTATAAATATAATATAATTCT